ACTCAAAGGTCAGGGATGCTCACATGTGAGCTTCTAGCCTCAGCCACGTGGGGAGAAAACAAAGGGAGCTTAGAAAAGCCAAGGAGAAGTGGTCTGGGAATCCAGCCAAGCTGGTGGAAGGAAAATTCCCAAAGAGGAGATCCACACCCTCTGCTGGACCTTTAACTTCTTGACCTTCCGGCTACGGTCTCGGGGTGATTTCATTCATTTCACCTTTGTCTCCCCAGGTAAACTGGGAAAGGGGGGCTGCGGAGGAGCAAGGCTTGAGCCAACAGTCCCTCCATCTTTGTTTTCTCTCTGAGAGCCCAAGGGACTTAACGCTGGACTTGGGCTCTTGCAGGAATGTTGCTTTTCCTGTACTCTGGGATGTGGACGTGAGCAGCATTTCAGGGGAGAGGTGGCTACACCTTCACGGGCTGGCCCCCCAAATCCTTCCTGACATACCTCACATCCATAAAGGATCAGTGAGTGCCTTTTGATAGTTCCACCAAAAGCCTTCAAGTTGGCCAGGATGTACCTTCAAATGAGGCTGCCTGATGGGGCCTGCACACCAGGTAAAGAAAAGCCCTCTCTGCTCATTGCACTCAGTCCTGGGGTCCACGGAGAGCCTCTAGGGGGCGTCCCATAGTGGGGCCCCCAGAACATGACAGCACAAGCTAGTCTGATTCTGCAAAAGAAAAATGACACAGAACACATACACCTACTAGACTGGCCAAAAGTTGGAACACTGACAACACCAAATGTTTGCAAGACTGTGGAGCAACAGGAACTCTCAGTCATTGCTGGTGGAAATGCAGAATGGCGGCAATGCTACTTCAGCAGACAGTCCTGTAGGACCCAACTGTCCCCAGTATTAGACGCAACGCTTCTCCTAGGCTCCTGGGTGTGTGTTTGGTGCTCAGTCTGGCCTCCTTACGAACAGCTAGGTCCTTCAGGACTTCCTGAGTGCCCTCTGCTTTGATGACAAGGCCACAATTCCCGTTTCAGAGACGGCGTCTGCACACATTGACCGGCCAACACCAGCCAGTTACTTCTGTTTCAAACCAAAACACTAACTCGTGATGATTTCCCAGAAGCCTCGGAGAAATCGACCACAATGCAGGATCTGAAGCATATGAACAAAACTCACGTGGGTAGCTTCTTCCCAGACAGCTGGGGCCTCCGCACTCACCAGTTTCCTGGACGTGGCTGGACTTCTTGAAGGTCAGCTTTGTTCTGTAACCTGGAGCAAGAAAGACGCAGTGGCCCTGGATTTGCAGATGGGCTTACCCATGCTTTGTCACAGACTCACTCCTCACCGAGGGCCCCCCTGTTTGGCTGCTTCAATCCCCTGTACACAGGGAATGAAGAGCAGGGTGTCCCGGCTCCCTCTGAGGATCTGGGGTTTGTTATCTGTAACTAGGAGGATCCATGGAGAACCTCTAGGCCTTGTCCCCCAGGCAGATGTCACCTGGTGTTTGGGAATCGAAGGCCCAAGTGAAGTGTCTTGCTCATCATTGGAGTCCTTTCGGGACAGGAAGGAAGGCGGCAGGGCACAGCCACGCAAGCAGTGACACAGGAATTGGCACCAAGATGGCGGAGAAGTCAACTCCCAGTAGACCTGGCGGCCCAAGATGGCGAAAGCTTTGGCTTCCGGTTTCCCCCGGGCCTCGTTGTAGGCCCACTGCAGGGCGCTAGCGGTGCCCGGGGGTGACCACAAAGGGGCAGAAGGAAGGCGGGGCCCAGGCCCTGGGAGTCGCAGCCCCTTCCCAAAGCAGCTGGAATAGCCCAGCCCCCGGCAGCAGAAGGAGTAAGCGAGCCCGTAGACACCGGCGGCGCCACGCCTCGCGGCCTCCCTCCCTCGCCTTCGGAGGCGGCCCGCACTCGTCTATGGCGCGTGTATCTGTGTTTACTTTAAACTGAACACTCAGCCCTGCCCTTCGTGGCGCGTCTCCTGCCTTCTGAGATGCCTGCACTCGGCTATGGAGTGCGCATCTCTCTGCATAAATCTACTTTTACTCAACTGTGGTTCAGCCTTGAATTCTTTCCTGTGTGAAGCGAGGGACCCTCACTCGGCAGGGCGCAGCCCAAGGTCTCCACCGAGACCATGGCCATCCACTCGCTTTTATTTCAGATCCTTGCGGGGTGGTGGGCCACAGCTGGCCCAGGCAGGGTGGGGGTGAACAGCTGCCTGGCCTCCCACATCTTCAGCCCTGAGGTTCTGATAGAAACTGTGAGACTGGCCTTCACAAGGCCCCTTTGTTCGTGTGGAGATTCCCAAGGCAGAAGCCTGATAAGCTGTCTTTATGACACGGGTGGGTGATGGGGGCTCCGGGAGGGAGGAGCCAGGGCCCTGATTTACCTCTCACCTGCAAGAGAACCTTCAGGAGCGCCGGCCTCTGCTGAGTTTTCACATGTGTCCCAGGACCTGTGGTTTCCGGGGTCCCCAGGTGGTGCTGAGAGAGGAAAGGCGTGTGACCTGGAGGCTGGGCTGGCGTGAGCAGCTGTGTCAGCGCAGGGACAGCACAGGCGCATTGATCGTGGACACAGGCTGTTACGTCCGCCAGTGCTTCCAGTGCTTAAGGGGGGAGCCCAAGGGACGTTTATAAGGAAACTCGCTGTATGAGATCACTTAGGGTGGAGACAGGCCGGGGCTGAGCCAGCGTTGCTGCTGGGATGCCCGCTGGGGGCTCCTTCCCCAAAAGCAGGTCTATGGGTGCTTGGCAGGGCAGAGTTTAAAAGGCTCTGATGCCCATAAAAATGTGTAGCCTTAATGAAAAAACAAGGACAGGTTAAAACACACCTGCTTTATGTAATGTCTGCGCAAAACGAACTTGGTTAACATGCAAAACGCGATTGCATCATCATAGCTGAAGGCAACAGGAAGAAGTTCTTAATCTGCAAGGCTCCTAATTAGAAAGTTACCGAACTGGATGAGAGACGCCCTGCCACCCCAGCTCCCGACTCCTGCCTCTGCGTGGCGCCCCCAGAGCTGGATCCCACGGCTCCGCCCACATACACACACATCTCCTCCAGGACCGGGAGCCACAGGGATGCTGTGTGGGGGCGCGGGAACCAGCTCGTTACCCGGCAGTCTTGCTACTCATCCTGTTTTCTCAGAACGCGCTTGCCTGGCAGCTCGTGCCAAGTGGGAGAGAATCAGTTTCTGCAAAAACCAAACACAAGATATCAAGGGATAGACTTCCTCTGCTTCCCAAATGGAAGACTCTCGGGACAGAGGTGGCCCAGCTGGGCAGCGGTCCACACCATATCTCCATGGGCATGACTGTGCCGGCGGCAGTGACATTTATTAAAGGCCTCCTGTGAGTGGGTCGCTGTGCATGAGGAAGGCCTGGACATGATCCGTGTATTTAATCTTCTATGAAAAATTTCCCTCTGGGCTTCTGTCGGCTAAGAGTCGTGTGTCTCATTTTGATACAGCAGCCCCTCCTATGGCTTCAGACTTCTCTGCGGTCCCACCGCTGTCGCTGGGCCTCAGTTTTACTTTTGGTGTCTGAACTCTTGCTTTAAAGTCCACCTGGGGACACCAGAGTCTCCAGGACTGGGGTCCATGTGGTCAGTCTTCTTGGGGCCTGGAGTCCAGTGACGTCCCTGTTGCTGAGCTGCCTGCCCCTCAGACCTCTGCCTGTTCCCTGTGGTCAGACTCCTCTGAGGCTCCACGAAGATCCCACGTGGGCTTTTTGTTTTTCAGTTGAAGTCTAGTCAGTTTACAATAATGTGTCAATTTCTGCTGTGCAGCGTAGTGGCTCAGCATACATATACACACATCCATTCGTTTTCACATTCTTTGTTATTATAGGTTACAACAAGGTATTGAATATAGTTCCCTGTGCTATGCAGTAGAATGTTGTCCATCTCCACACGGCCTTCTGGTAACAGAAGCACGTTTCCTTAGGGCGTTTACTTTGTACTGAATAATCTTTCATTTTCAACTTTCCAAGTACTTATCTTCCCTCTCTGAAGATTCCGTGAAGGGTCCTCGCTCACAATGCACCACGTCAATTTTTTATGCATGTGAATGATCTCGCTTAGTCCCTCTAACAAAACATGAATCCCCACTTAACAGAGGAAGGAACGGAGACTTACCTTTCCCAAGGTAAACCTTGTTGGGGACGGAGGTCACACAGCTAGGAAGTGGCTGAGCTGGGATTCAAATCCAGGCCC